GGGGGGCAGGCAGAAAGACAAAGACAGACAAACTGATCCTCCTGGAGAAAAATGTGACAGGACGAACAAACAAACAAACGCTTCCACAGACAAACAGAGAGGAGTCAGTCTAACAAACATCGTTGTGACGCCAATACAGTGCTCACCAACAGAATGTCTTAAATACCCAACCTAGAGCCTTCTTTTGTCCCTTTTAAAAGGCTAAATTGTACGTACCGTCCACCCACACGTATTCCCAAGCGGGACAATAAATAAATAACACCTGTCACTTAGATAACACAGGACAATGCTTTATTGTCCCTAGGGGACATTTTTGTGGCTTTACAGGAAAAGGTAATAAAAGATATGTTGATACACATAAAATTATTTAAATCAGGGTGATCTAAAAAAACCCAAAACCAAAACCAAACCCAAAACAAAACAAAACAAAAATGACCGAAACAAAAACAAAAAAGCACCCCCCAAACTTAACAATTTTAAAAAATACATATTTCACACTATCCGAGTCATCCCCCACAACCCTCCACCCCCTAAAATTTTTAAACCAAAATCGTCTCTAGATTGGCAAGCAATGGCCTCACGAGACACGTTCGCTAAAGAACCTGTCCGACACAGACAGAAGCTGCCATGCAACACAGACCCACACAGACAGACAGAGGGTTACACCTACACATATCGGGATAGGGTCATGCGTCTCTCTCTTTATTTCAATGTAGATGTTTTACGTCCCCATCGAAACAAGTTAAATCAGAGGCTCGGCTCTAAGACTCCCAAGGCTAGAATTTCTGTACCGTCCACCTACATGTATTTCCAAGTAGAACATGATAGAAGACTTGTCACTACCTGGGTGAACTCCGTCGCCCACCAAAATTACCAGTTCGCCCACTACATAGCGGACGACACCACCCAGGTTGGAAAGTACTGATTTAGATTATTTACTGGGAAGCGAGCTTCGATCCTGTCTGTCTGGGCAAACCCGGGCTGAGAGGTATACAACATCCCAACAGTACAGAAAGACCGAGATTCTCGAGACTTTACTTTTCCGATCCAGCGGCCATCTGAGTTCTAGCCCTTTGACCTGGATGCTGGATAAAAAGTCTCCCCACCCGGGACTCGAACTTAGGTCATCTTCAAGCGATGATGAAGCGCTCAAACTTAACGGCTACACCACATACGCCGGACACCCCGAGAGTTTTGGGCACTTTTAGTTTACCACCACACAGAACGATCATGGCCTAAGATCTCCCAGAAGATCACTGACTCTTTCCCTGTTATATTATTTTATCCAATGCCATCAAGCCACCAGCGTAACGGCGTCTGTGGTGTAGATGTTAGGAGATTCACCGTGACACATGCGAGACCCGAGTTTGATTCCCGGTTGGGGGAGAATTCAAATTCTTATCGAACATCCTCGTCTGTCTCCTTAGATGTTGTAACCCTCTCAGTACAGCTAGGGTTGGCCCTGACAGGTAGGATCGAAGCAGCCTGCTTCTTAAAGGATCTAAGTCATCACAATTATTATTTCAAAAGTCGGACTTGCTCAACGCTTGATTCTAATATTCCTTCTCGATGTAAGGCGAGAGTGATTTTGTAATTTATTTGTTGCTGATACTAGCTGCTGAAGAGACACATTTGGTAACTCAAACAGATGAGGATTAAGAAGAAGAAAATGGGCGTATAAGATAAGATATGGTAAGATAAGATGTGATAAGATGAGATAAGATAAAATAAAATAAGACAAGATAAGACAAGATAATATAAGATTCGATACGATAAGACAAGATAAATAAGATAAGATAAGATAAGATAAGACAAGATAAGATAAGATAAGATAAGATAAGATAAGATAAGATAAGATAAGATAAACTTTACTCATTTACGAGGGAAATTTTGGGTGGCCATACCAGAACATCAACGTACAAAAATTCAGCATCAACAAAGAAATGCATTCATCATGATATTATTTAAATTCATGTTCAGTTATACACAAACAACGAAAAACAATTCAGTCACACTCAAACAGTGTGCGCGTGTGCATGAACTCTCTCCATCTCGTTCTCTATCTCTCTCTCTCATTCTCATTCTCTCTCTCTCTCTCTCTCTCTGTCTGTCTGTCTGTCTGTCTTCACACACACACACACACACACACACACACACACACACACACACACACACACACACACACACACACACACACACACAGCGCATAATCACAAACGGTACAAACCGATCATACTATAATCCCATTGTTGTTAAACACAAGAGCGCACGAGGGAGTTCTTACACCTGTTTTTTAAAGAGTCTGGAAGATTCTATTGCTTCTAACACACCCTTCTTGTCGTTTGTCAGCTGTTATGAAGCCCAACATTTTTATTTTCCTTAAGTGCAGTTTCTTAACCAGTGATATCGGTTGCATGTGCTCAACAAATTCAAAAGTATGAAAAGATACATTATACGGTAGACAACATACGATCTTGTCAGTATTTGAGCGTTTTGGCACCTATAAAATGGCAGCTTGCACTGTACGCTTCACAGGAAGTTGGCATTGTCGCAGAATGCTTTCAGGTCTGCTGGGGTAATATAATAATATATATTTTAAAGCGCACAGAGCTTGATGTTGAGCGGGATTTTGCGTAAACAAATAAATGATCTCTATTATCTGTTCAGTATAATTGGACACACAATGCGGAAAAAAGCATTTGAGAATTTATTGTAACAACAGGCAAGTTGGATTGAAAGAGAGGCAGAGGCAGACAGAGGGAAAAGATACTGGACAGTTTGACGACATGCACACGCGCACACTGTTTGAACAGCAAGAACAACAGACGCCATCGCTGCAACGCAAGACAGAGCGAAGTGGAGGTCCATGATCGCCCACGCCAGTCGGCATGGCAAGGCACCGGATGCTGATGATGAATATGATACTTGTTTAAACAATAAGATAGTTTTTCCTCTCTCCGGTAAAACAATTGGTTTTTTTGGGGCTTACGTACAGCTTGCCAAAGATACGCTTCATGGAGATTGCGGGTTCGGGAGTTCGAGCTTCAGCTCGGTCCGACGTTGTGTCCTTGGGAAAGGCACTTTACACGAACTTCCCACCTGGCTCGGTCCTATCGGAGACGGACGTTAAATTAGGAGGTCCCGCCTCTTAAATAACCTAATAGTGTTGATAAGGGCGTTAAACTCCTACCATTTCACCATTTTTTTTATTACGCTTCATGGAGAGGGTGTTCAATATTACATGTTGGGAAGGAAGAAGGAGCAGCGGTTAGTTTGAATAATGTCCCCGTACGTAAATAGACTTACACAAGCACTCTACAGCCTTCATAACTGGGTGACTACTAAATAATGCTTTCATAACTCCCACAGGACAGAGCACGGGGCTAGAGAAAATCAATAGGAAGGGCCTGGTGGGCCAAAACATGTCCGCAAAAATGGTCAACTTCTTCTTCTCTCACGCTATGCGGGGGGG